TTACCAACATTGTTCAACCATAAACCCTTTTTATTTTACCAAATCAAAATATAATTTAGGGCTTTCTCTTGTTTCAATAATAACATGCTAATTTTATTCTCTAATTAGTCCAAACCACAGTCAATGATAACAAAACCATTCTCAAACAACCAACCCTAGGTTCCCCTCATGATTTTCAAACAAATCCAACACGGATGTGATTTTCATGCATTACAAAATTACCACATGTCTATCTATAGACGGAGTATTGAAAAAGAACAAAGAAATCCCTACCTCAAATGGAGAAGATGAAGGCCAAAAACCAAAGTGCTCCAAATAGCCAAACTTTCAGATTAAAATGAAGATCAAGGGAAGCTCCACACTCAATACAAAGGAACTAGGGTAGAAGATCACTAGAACTAGATGTATTTATAGAGAGAAGATGTAGTCTAGAGAGAGACACTCTCAAGTTATTCATTCAATGAACTTCATTAAATTGATTAATGTATCTCATACATTCATGATACATAATGCATCTTCTATATTAATGAATTCATTAGATAGATGAATGTATCTTACATATTCATAATAGATACATAATGCATCTCTAAGATTCATTCATAATAAATCCATTACATTCTTTTTTATTTATATTCTACTTCCATTTTTATTTAATTTACTTTTCTATTAAACTTCCTTTGTTATTTAATTTCCAAATAGATCGTTAAGGTATAGTGGTTTCTGGATTGAACTTCCATTTTTAATTTTATACAACTTTCATTTTTATTTATATTCTACTTCCATTTTTATTTAATTTACTTTTCTATTAAACTTCCTTTTTTATTCAATTTCCAAATAGATCGTTAAGGTATACTGGTATCTGGAATGAACTTCCATTTTTAATTTTCTGCAACTTCCATTTTTGTTTTTATTTAACTTCCTTTTTTCTTCAAGTTTCTTTTCTACTCAACTTCCTTTTTTATTTAATTTCCAAATAGATCGTTAAGGTTTAGTGGTTTTTGGATTGAACTTCCATATTTAATTTTATGCAACTTTTATTTTTATTTTTATTCAACTTCCATTTTGATTCAATTTACTTTTCTATTAAACTTCCTTTTTTGTTTAATTTCCAAATAGATAGTTAAGGTAAAGTGGTTTCTTGAATGAACTTCCATTTTTAATTTTCTGCAACTTCCATTTTTAAGTTACTTTTCTACACAACGTCCTTTTTTATTTAATTTCCAAAAAGGTCATTAAGGTACAGTGGTTTTTGGATTGAACTTCCATTTTTAATTTTATGCAACTTTCATTTTTATTTTTATTGAACTTCCATTTTTATTAAATTCACTTTTCTATTAAACTTCCTTTTTTATTTAATTTCCAAATAGATCGTTAAGGTATAATGGTTTTCGGGTTGAACGTCCATTTTTTATTTTAAGCAACATTCATTTTTATTTGTATTCAAATTTCATTTTCATTAAATTTACTATTCTATTAAACTTCCTTTTTTATTTAATTTCCAAATAGATCGTTAAGGTATAGTGGTTTCGGGATTGAACTTCCATTTTTCATTTTATGCAACTTTCATTTTTATTTTTATTCAACTTCCATTATTATTCAATTTACTTTTCTATTAAACTTCCATTTTTATTTAATTTCCAAATAGATCGTTAATGTATAGTGGTTTCTGGATTGAACTTCCATATTTAATTTTCTGCAACTTTTATTTTTATTTTTATTCTTCTTCCGAAAACCGGGAACCGGACTCCGAAATGGGAAAAATGGCCTACGGCCACCAAATGTAGCCTACGGACATTGAGAGATGGTCTACGGGACCTCTCCCTCCCCTCAGGAAAAGAAACAGAGAAAACCGAGTCTGGTTCGCAAACCGAGGCAAGGCACAGAAAAGGTTTCAGGAGTCCGGAGGCAGGGCTCACGGCCGTAACTCCGAAACTTCTGAACAAGCGCATTATGCAACATCACCAAACGCTCAATCGGTGACGTCTGAGTCTTAAGGTCGGTCAAAAATGGGGTGTCTACAACTTCCAATTTTATTTTTATTTAACTTCCTTTTCTATTCAAGTTCCTTTTCTACTCAACTTCCTTTTTTATTTAATTTCCAAATGGATCGTTAAGGTATAGTGGTTTCTGGATTGAACTTCCATTTTGAATTTTATGGAACTTTCATTTTTATTTATATTCTACTTCAATTTTTATTCAATTTGCCTTTCTATTAAACTTTATTTTTTATTTAATTTCCAAATATATCGTTAAAGTATAGTGATTTCTAGAATGAACTTCCATTTTTAAATTTCTGCAACTTCCATTTTTATTTTTATCTAACTTCCTTTTTTATTCATGTTTCTTTTCTACTCAACTTCCTTTTTTATTTAATTTCCAAATAGATCGTTAAGGTATAGTGGTCTTTGGATTGAACTTTCATTTTTAATTTTATGCAACTTTCATTTTTATTTTTATTCAACTTTCATTTTTATTCAATTTACTATTCTATAAAACTTCCTTTTTTATTTAATTTCCAAATAGAATGTTAAGGTATAGTGGTTTCTAGATTGAACTTTCACTTTTAATTTTATGCAACTTTCCTTTTTATTTTTATTCTACTTCCATTTTTATTCAATTTACTTTCCTATTAAACATCATTTTTTATTTAATATCCAAATTGATCGTTAAGGTATAGTGGTTTCTTGAATGAACATCCATTTTTAATTTTCTGCAACTTCCAGTTTTATTTTTATTTATCGCCAAA